ATGTTTATTTCTTTTTCATATACTCTTGTGAGACTAATAGTTGTTTTGGAGATTGTGGCACTAATAGCTGTTTTGCAGATCTTAATCTTGAGAAAGAAGTTTGTGTTTGTTGGTTGTAATGGGTTGGGGTGATTAGGATTTTATTTGTTAGGTGTGTTTTGTCACGGCATTGCCAAATGGGGAGATTGTTAGGTTTTATTATTTGCAATCCCGTTTGATAAGGATTTCTTTAAGAAGTTGATTTTCTTCCAAAACTAGGATTACTTTTGAATTTCTATAAGTAATTGGATTTCTTCCAAAACTAGGATTACTTTTGGATTTTCTATAAATAGTTAGTTTTCTTCCAAAACTATTTAATTTCTCCAGATCTTCTTTTTGGTTCTTAAGGTTTATATCTGGGGATATTTTGTTAGTTTTCTTTGATGTTTTATTGAGTATTCAACTCATGGTTTAAAGAGAGTACATCAAAGGTTTTGTTTGTTATACACAAGAGAGAGAGAGAGAGAGAGAGAGAGAGAGAGAGAGAGAGAGTTGTTCTTCAGTGGATTCTGAAGAATTCGAGCCTGAAGTTTCGGTGAATTCTGGAGTGGCTCATCGAAAAGACAATTCCGAGGTGAAGACGGGGTTGGAAGAGGCACATAGAGGTTGGTTCAATTAGGCGTGGATTCGCTAGGTAATTGAGAGTATACCTGTGTAATTCCTTTAAATCTTCTTAGTAGATTATTTTTGTGGCTGTTGCCTGTGGTTTTTTAATCACAGTTGGAGGTGTCCAATTATGGTTTTTCCACGTAAAATCGTTGTGTTGATTTGTCTTTGATTGCTTGATTGGGATTGTTATATTCTACGTAAAATTGATACGTAATCACAAATCAACATTTAGGGGATTTCTAGATTTTTCATATATCTAAAAATAATAATAATAAATGTGATGAGAATTATAAATCTGAATACAAATGCACTTTGATGAAAGGGTAATCGATATTCGACCAACTTAATCTTTCATATGTATGTTCTACTCAATGTATACTAAAAGGTTATTGATATTCGACTAACTTAATTTTTTACAAGTATGTTGTATTCAATATACTCAAAAATTAAATAATTTTAATTATCAAAATAAGTTTCATGGGCCGCACAATAGTGACTACAATGCAACACAACAACTACCGTTTGGATATCGAACTCCTCTCGAAGTCGAATCCAAAACTCACACCATAAGTGGTGCTGCCAAGGCCTATTTCTAATGAAATTAACTTGACTTAGCTTATAAACTAACTTATTAACTTTTTAATTTATTTGGATCATATTATCTTTTTAATTTGTTGCACATCTTTTCTTAATAAATTAAAAACCACGTATTTAGCATTTCTCAAAACAACCGTGCACTCTAAAAAAATGTACATTGTAAGGAAGTTTTTATTTATTTATTTATTTATTTTTTATGGAAGTTATAAATATTTGTATTGGTTATGCCACTTTGTAATAAAATTATCAATAATTATGGTATGACCTAAAGTTATGAAGATTCAAGTTATAAAATTTTGTGATTTTTATTATGATATTTTGTGGCTAGAAAAATAATAATATTTTATAATTTATGTTATAAAATTTTATAAATTTTTATGAAAAAAATATGGAAGTTCACACTAAAAATAGTTGTCATATGCATTCTTTTGGAGTCGAGGCTGATCCTAACGAAATTAAAAAAATAGAGACTTTATATATATATATATATACACACAAAATTTGTTCTCCTATCTATATAAAATTTGCTTACATATATAAACATTAGTAGGTGCATCCACTTGATGGGTGTAATGTTAAATCTATAAAATATAAATTTTATTTGAAATTAAAATCATATAATGTCTATTAAGTAATAAAAGTGTTGTTCACTAGACCAATAAAAAGAAGGATTGAACAAGTAAACAGTTTACTTTATATATAGCATAAAATATTTTAAGCAAAAAATTAGTAATTTATTCTATCTATTTTTTAGGTCCCCCCCAAAAAAATAGAAAGATTGAAATTACTAATTTTTTTGCTTAAAATATTAGGTGATAAATCATATTTGAAAATATTATATTAGTAAGTGAATTAATTATAATATATTTTTTACAATAAATATAATATTATATTTTCTTAGCAATTTTATATAATTTTTATAGTCAACATAAATCATAATTATTGAAATAAATTTTGGACATCTTCAATAAGTAATATTATTTATTGAATTTTTTTTTTATTTTGTTTACGATGAGATTGAATATAAAAGTATTACGAACTTCAACTTGAAAAAAATTATTTCTATAGAGACAATCCTAATTAATATAGTCAATAATATTCTACCAACAATACATACATTTGACAAACAACTATTTATTATATTTAAATAATTCACCACTTCAATTATTTTTCTAATTTTTTGGTAAAATACACAAATAATTTAATTAAAATTAATGGGTATGTTAATAGAATGATAGCATCAATATTATTCAAAAAAAATAATTAAAATCATAATTTAACTTTAATTTTAAATTTAAATTTAAATTTATAACAAACATTACATAATCAAATATTTTAAAAATAAAAAATTAACACATACATTGTACAGATCAACTGTTAATAATAATACTAATAATAATCTTGATGTCCTTTATACTATAAAATCATAATATCAGGGACCTTAAAAAAAATACCCCTTTATTTTTCAACCGACCATGCCTCACCACTCCCTAATTAAATATATATTATATATATGTATATATTGTGATAATTAAATGAAAAATTCTAACATATACACTCTTTGAAGGATATATTATATGTACTTTTAATTATGTTATTTTTTAAAATTTTGACATTATTTTAGTTTTGATTTATGAATTTTTTTATTATGTCTCATATTGTGTTTGGTTATGATATTTTTTTAAAATTATGATATTTTTTTTCTAATTATAAAATACATATAATACATACCATTTGAAAGATGGAGTTTTTTTTTTTTTAAATATTCTAAAAAAAAAACAAATTTAGAGAATTGACTCACTTTTCAAATTATTTGAAAAACTAACCTACTTTTTAAAATCGCATTTTGAAAATGCAATTTAAAATTATATTTTTAACATGTAATTTCACCTTGAAATCGCATGATGACAATGCAATTCATGATGACATAGACTTCACTTTTTGAAATTACATTTTTAGCATACGATTTTAAGGTGAAATTGCATATTAAAAATATAATTTCAATTTCAAAATCACATTTTCAAAATGCGATTTCAAAAAGTAGGTTAATTTTTTAAATAGTTTGAAAAATAAGTCAATTCTCTAAATTATTATTATTTTTTAGAATATTAAAAAAAAAAAAACTCTTGAATGATGTGTATTATAATATTTTTCTAATTAAATATAGAATGGACGCATGCTTCACTTCGGTTATGCTAATAGTCACCACACTGACTATTTGACTTTCTGAAATCATTATCATAGCTTCAAATGCAACATGGAAAATGAGTGGGAACCCATTTTTGGGGATTCTCATCATCTTAAAATATTATAGATTAATTATGTATTTTTTTATTTTTTTTTATCCGAACTAATTACAAGTGAATGGAAGTGGTGGAGTTGTGTTTTTGGGGTCTTAATCACTATTGATGCAACATTGTACACTTGAATAAATATATTGTATTAAATTATTATTATCCATTCACTAATCACTAAGTACCAATCATATCTGTCACCTCTCGTGCAAATAAAAAAATAGCATGACTACCATCTCCACCATCCATTTCTCCGAACCATGACGATCGATCCGCATCGGATGCCTCGTCCGAACATTTGTCTTCTACCTGCTGACATCAACTCAACAATTTTTTTATAACATTATACTAATTATACATAATTAAACAATTTTCACATAATCCAAATCAACTGTCACTATATAATAGCATTGGCATTCACTATGCCAAAACAGGACATTAACGGCGGTTTTTTTAACGGCGGTAATGAAAACCGTCGTTAAAGGTACTATTAACGGCGGTAACGAAAACTGTCGTTAAAGGTATCATTAACGGCAGTTTTGTTACCGCCGTTAAAAAAATTGCCGTTAATGTCCACTTTTAACGGCGGTAACAAAACTGCCGCTAATGCCCAATCATTACCGCCGTTAATGACGGCGATCTTTGCCGGTGAAATTCCGGCGTGCTCCGGCGAAACTTCGGTGAGCTCCGGTGAAACCATCTACAATAAAGTAAAAGTAATGTTTAAATATTTATTTAGGGAATATATTTCATGAAGAGTGGCTATGGTAGAGTGGTTAGTGTGGTAAAAAACCGTCGTTTTTGGTCCTATGTTACCGCCGTTTTTGGTCGACTTTTAACGACGATAATTTACCTTTTTACGACGGTTGTACTTTTTCCGACACGCGCATAAACGGCGGTAACAAAACCGCCGTTAATACCGCCGTCAAAGGCTTTAACGGCGGTAAAAAATCGCCGCTAAAGCCCAATTTTGGCGTAGTGAATGTTGTAAATTAGATAATTACAATAAATACTAGCACCATTGGCATTGCCTTCTTCCTCGCCTCTCCTCTTCTCTTAAATGGAAAGTCACCGGAATCAACGACAAACACCGTCGGTTTCTCTCTCCTCCCGGCTGAGCTCATACTCTATATAATTCTCAATCTAGTTTTACCCGATATTGTTCGATTAAAATCCACTAATAAGTTTATTGCCTCAATTATCTTTGACCAAGATTTTGTTTGCGAATATAATGTGAAATCGAGTTCAACCACTTGGCTTTTTATTTACATGAAGCGATGGCATCGTAAATCCATGCTCCATGGCTTTGTCGACGGCTCTAATCGGTGGTTTGAAATTTCGATTTTGGAATTGTTGATTCCGATGGTTTCTCCCTGGGAAGATCTCTATTTTTTGACCGCGTTCGGTAATTAATTTCTCTTTGCTTCCAACACGAGCCAGGAAGTTATTTCTGTTAATCTCATGGCTAAGATAGTTAGAAAGATCCCTCCAAGCCCACTAGGTCCACGTGGCACATCTTTGTGGCGCCGATCTGGTATGAAATTACTACCCGGCCCTCCTGGGTCGGGTCATTTCCGATTTTTATTTGCTGAATATCATGAAAGCCATCTAATTTTATTTGAGTATAACTCAAAGAGTAACAAGTGGCGATCTATAGAAGCAAAAGAAAATTTTTGGAATTTGCCATGTGTCAATGAAAGAGGGGGTGACTATATTTTCTTTAGTGTCATTAATGGAAGGAGTGGAAGTGTCCTTATTGCCCTTGGATCCGAAGGTGATGATGACCTGGTGGTTATACGACCGAGATTTCATAGGGGAGGGGAAGAGCAACGGTTGGCCGTAGGATTCAGTTGGGGGAACGTGTTTGATCAATTACATGTGTACGGGGATGGAAATATGATGATTCTTACATCAGGTGATGTTGATGATGCGAGTAAAAAGAGAAGCATGTTAGAGAGTGTAGAACTGTGGGGGTTGAGCTCAAATGGTATGTGTTGGGAATTCATATCAATGGTACCAAGTGGGCTAATTGAGAAGATTAAGAAGCCTTATGGGGTTATAATGGGGTGTATAGAGGAAAGACAAGGAACAGTTAGGGCTGTCTTGATGTCCAACTTTGAAGGCATTTGGGGCATAATTTGGCTACGCTAGGATATAAAGAGAGAGCATTGGACTTGGGTCCCACTCCCTGATTGCAAGATGAAGGGTTTAAACATGGCTGGCATTGCCTTCTCTTCTGGCCTCACCTTGTCTTGATTACTTTCAAATGTTTTTTTTTTCAAAGCAAAACACATCATGGCCCAAATATATAGAATAATGTTACACTTCATAAGAACTTTTCAGGGAGATAGTCCTAAAGATTATCCACCATTGGATTAGTTTTTAATATTTTATTATATGTTATATGCGATTATATACATTATTAATCATAGAGCAGTATAAGATAAAACTAAATTTATATTATTTGCACACTAAGACTTGAAAATTAAAATGTACTTACATTAAGGTAAACCTTTTTCTTATTTTGTTACCTATCAAAACTAGATTATTTCTAAAAACTTCATGAAACTTTTCTTGATATTTCTTTTATTAAACCTAACATTTTTCATATATATATATATATATACGAATCAAGCTTGTCTTCAATCTTTGCATGGATATGGGCGCATTTTGGATCCGTTTTAGTGATCTAAACCATTGTATTTGTATATAAAAAAAAAGGGGTCCATTTTTAAGATAATACTTAACATCTATTTTTTTTTTATGAAAAATATGATTTGACAAGGTAACTCTCAATGGCCGCCCAAGTTAATTTTTTGAATAAATATGTTCTTAACAAACTTTACAACTTAAATAATTCAAATCATCAAACACTACAACAAAAAGTAGATTTGGCGACTAAAATTGGATTTTTCGTCGCTGAAAGTAGTACAATTGGCGACTAAAATGGAATTAGTCGCCAAAATTGGTCACTTTTGCCGACTAAAAGAGTTTAGTCGCCGAATATAAGGGTTTTAGCGACTAAAAGTCAGTTTCGTGGCCCAATATAGGGGTTTTAGCGACTAAAAAAATTTTAGTAGCCAAAAGTTAAGGTTTTTGGCGACGAAAAACATTTAGTAGCCAAAAGTATAGGTTTTGGCGACTAAAAAACAGTTTGGTCGCCGATTCTACGTGTTTTGGCGACTAAAAACAGTTTGGTTGCTGAAAGTCAAGCTTTTTGGCTACTAAAAAAAAATTAGTTGCTAAAACAGTCAATTGGCGACTAAAATTCACTTTAGTAGCGAAAAGGGGACGTTTTTGGCGACTAAAAACAGGTCTAGTCGCCAAAAGGGGACGTTTTTAGGCGGAACATATTTTTTTAGCGACTGAAAATTAATTAGTAGCCCAAAATTATAGAATTGTTATTTAGTCGCCAAAAGTGATCTAAATTTTTTTTTACTAAATTTATTTTTTACATAAATTGAATAAATTATATTTATATATATAGTTTTGTATTAATACTGGTCAAAGTAATATATAAATAATATATGTTGCATTTATATTTAAGTGATGTTGTAGTGGCATAGTAGGGAGAGTGTGCTGGTAAATGCTTGGAAGGTGCGAGGTCTTAGGTTCAAAACCTGGGAACAACAAAGGGAAATTTTTTTTTTTTTTCAAATATGCTTTTGGCGACTAAACTTTGTGGTCGCCAAAAGATTGACTATTGGCGACGAAAAAAATAGTCGGCAAATGTATAAATAAATTTAAAAAAATTTACTATTGGCAACTAAAAGTTTAGTCGCTAAATGTATAATTTCCAAAAATGGAATTGACTATTGGCGACAAATTCTTTGGTCGCTGAAGACATGTATATTGCCGACTAACACTTTTTTAGTCGCCAAAGGTATTCGCGACCGTGTATTCACGACAAAACCGGCGACTAAAATATTTAGTCGGGGAAAGTGAAAATTCGACTTTTGGCGACTAAAAAAGAACTTTTGACGGCTAAAAATTTAGTTGTCACAGGTGTATTTTCTTATAGTGAAATTGGACCTAGAGTCATGGAAATTGGATCCTCCTTCCTAAAAAAGTGAACTAACAAGAAGTTTGATTCTCTCTATATATTGCATCAAATGGTATTTCATCAAATGGCCGATCAAGGGTCGAACTCTCAACCAGTTGAGTATTGTATCAAATGCCGATCACTAAGCTAGATGACAATTGCTATCAAATGTTTGAATCCATCATATGTGTAACACCCTCAAAATAACAACATTAAACCCGTCAATAAAGATATGCATTGATATGTAAAAGTTCCACATTCTTCCATTTATCAGAGTTTTATTACAAAAGTATTACATGTTAACAACAAAAGCAAATGCCCTAAGGGCTTACAGCTTTCCAAGTTAACACTTGGTTACAACAAAAGAGTATTAACTCATTTACACATTAAGCCCTTGGCTTGAGTTTACATGTAATACATCAAAAAGTAAAATGACAAAAGTATGTCCGCCTCTAGCCTCCCAAGCTATGTCCTTGGAGGTGGCATGCTACTTGCACCTGAAAATGATATTCCCATATAGGGTGAGCCACAGCCCAGTAGAAATACACTAAACCAACCATGAACAATGACTAAAAGATTAGCAATTGATAGATGGCCAACACTGATACAATCACATAAAATATTCTTGTAGTGAATGAAAATGTGTATATTTCGTAGTGAGCAAAATATTAAGTTGGCCTATGTGTCTAGGGTGAGCAAAAATTATACATGTATGTGATTTTGAGAAAAATGGGTGAATGTAGGAATGAGGTGTGCATCACCAAATTAAGTTGGCCTATGTGTCCAGGGTAAAAGTCCTGAAAAACGCGCACATACATAGGTGCCAATTTCTGCGGACGAAATATCCGTAAAATGGTAATAGTAGGGCTTGCATAGCCTACGTTTACATGGGTCCCGTTTGACGGTTTCCCGCGGACGAAATATCCGTGAAAGGCTATACGAAGTTGAGTTTCCCCCTATTTTCTATTTTAAAGGAAATGATTTGGAGAACTATGACATAGACCCAGCATTATGTGGCTTTTGGGAAAGATATAAATTGTTTTGTCATGAGCATTGCATATACATTTTACCCTTATATCTTTATTAAGATTAATATATTGTGTTGGATTATTTCTACTGGGTTTTGGCTCACCCTATATAGGAAAAATATTTTTAGGTATTGGTGAGATGCCTTCGCCAAGGTAGTAGCTTGGGAGGATTGAAGCAAGAGCTTCATTTTGTTTACTTCTTATTATTAAGCCTAGGGCTTATTTTGTATTGAATTTAAATCCGTTGTGATGTAATCAAGTACTGTCTAGGAAAGTTGTAGCCTTCAAGTAATTTCAATTATCTATTTAACTTCTATTTCATTTCTTTGTTGTTGACACATGCTATAGATTCAAGGTTATGACTTATGAATGTATATTCGCATGTGTCACCCTTTTGTACAACCAAATCTTATGTAATAGAAAGATATTATACTTTGATGTATATTATTATTTACTTATCGTTGTAGATGGTTTATGGCATTATTTTGGGACGTTACAACTTGGTATCAGAGTGTACCAGGTTTGAATACTAAAGGTATGTGGGAAGTGGTTTTTACCACAATGGGTTTATCTCGTTTGATAGAGATGTTTGTATGTTTGTAATGCTATGTGATAACACGCTTATGTGATTATATGGGTATGAGATTTAATTCCTAAGATATTGATTGGGTCTACGGATTTTTAGAAGTCCTATTAGAAGAGTACTTGATCACTATTGTTTCTAATTGGAACTCTGGTAATGTCGCAGGATGACCATTATTTAGGATGCGAGTGAGTTAGCTTTGGCACATTTGTAAATATGCTAATATCTTTTGTTACCTTCATTAGGATGTCAACACCGAAGAACCAAAACTCAACTCTCGCTCGAGCGACCAACTCCTCGCTCGAGCGAAGGTCCAAAAATCTGGGCAGCAGCACTAGGCTCCCAAACACAACCAACCTGTAACAAACCTGCCCAACACATCCTATAACTCAATATACAAAGTAAAGAGGATGCAAACAAGATAATAAACAACTACCAACATCCACGGACACATGTCCGGATCACTGTACAACATGGGTAAACCCGGGATCGCTATAATATGGGCACAATCTATGTATATAATTTATAATTGAATCTAATAATTATAACAGTTATTTGAAATAGTTTGAAAAAATTAAAATAGTGTATAACAATTATCATATATTTTAGGACATTTTGAAAAAACAAATTATATAACATTTATATGACCAAACGTATATACTTTATATATTAACTAGAGAATGAATGAAAGGGTTGCCAGTTAGATGGGGAAGGGAAAGCGGTGGAGTGGGAAAACGGTTGATGAGAGAAAGGGATGGAGTGGTGGTAGTAGGTTGAAAAAGATGAAGAGTGGTGATGGACGACAGTAAAAACAGTAATGAAACAATTAAAAAATTATGATTTAATTTGTTAATGAAGTCAAATCTTAAATTTTATTATTATTTATCATTATTTTTTGTTTTTCAATTTCCCTTATTCTTTTGGGTTTACATTATGGTATACTTTCTCGAAGGTTGGATATTTGAACTTGTCCATGCAAGCAAAAAACATTGTAGCCATTATCCCCAGTCTTAAAATTTGTAGCCATTTCCAAAAATATTTTATTCAAACTTTACCATTTCTATTGAAATATGTACTAAAAATTTCACAAATAATTTTAATTTATTTAGAATTTATAATAAAAATATTATTAATTGTTGAAATTAAAAAAAAAATCAGAAGGCATAAGCATAACACATTAAGAAATATATAAATTTATTGTCCACACACTACAAGAATTTTCACTTTTGGCGACTAAATTTTTAGTCGCCAAAAGTCATTTTTAGTCGCCTATAGTCTTTAGCGACTAAATTTTTTGGTCGGAAAATTAGTAGCCGAAGAGTAGTCGGTAGAGCTAATTGGCGACTAAACTTTATTTAGTCGCCAAATGTATTCATTTACCGACTAAATTTTTAGTCGCCAATAGGTTGGAAAATTAATTAAATAATACATTTTTGCCGACCAATTTTTTTGTCGCCAAAGCCAATAATTTAGTCGCGGAAAAATTTTTAGCTACTAA